TCTTAAGGAATGTGCCAAAGAACTATATACTCTATTGTTAATATTCCAAAATTCAGTGAGCCAATGTAAAAAATTAAAAAATAATAAAAAAGGTAGAAACTTGCCAATGTTACACCCTTATATAAGAGCGGCGACAAACAAAACCCTTTAAATTATAAACCAGTTTCGTTAACTAGTGTAATATGCAAGCTGTTAGAAAAGACAATTAGGAAACAATGGGTTACAGTACTTGAAAAACATGAAATATCAAAAAAAAAAATGGTTTTAGTGAAGGAAGGTCATGTGTAGTAAATATTTTTTTTTTTTTTTTTTTTTTTTTTAATAGAGAAACGGCTGGAAGGATTGTATGTACTTAGACTTTAAAAAGGCGTTTGATAAGGTGTCTCACTGAAGACTACTATGGAAATTACAGTACCTAGGTGGAGTGAAAGGCAAGCTCATCGACTGGATAAAGCAGATGAGCATAGTAATTAAAAGGATAGAGGGAAGCATTCTACATGGCGACGAGTAACCAGTGGAGTACCACAAGGATCAGTCCTGGCGCCGATTATGTTTACTATTTTCATCAATGATTAACCATCAAACCTAAGCCCAGGCAGTTATTTGAATATGATTGCAAACGACGCGAAAATACAGAGAAGTATAATAGAAGACGTCTCATGCCAATGCCTCCAAAGTGACATTGAGAACTTATTTACGTGTACTCGGAAAATGGAATTCAACATCCATATATGCCACACAGTTTCGGAGAAATTAAAAGTTGCCCACTATTCCAATATAAACTAGGAGATGCAACACTAAACACGGCAGACAGGGTAAAAATACCTTTGGGGTAATCATAAACAGAAACCTAACCCCAAACGATCATATAAATGAAAAGGTCCATAAAATGCTAGGAATGATTACCAACATGAAGAGGGCATTCGCGTATGTGGACGGAGATATGGTAAAGATCATTATAGCAATCATACGTCTTAGTCTAGAGTACGGTGCAGTGGTATGGAATCCTCACACAAAAAAAAAGATAGACAAACTGGAAAGAGTTCAAAGAGTGGCTACAAGATGGGCACCTACTCTTAGAGATATGAGCTACGAAGATAGACTACAGAAATTAAAACTTGCTACTTTGGAAGTAGGAAGAAAAGGGGGATCATGATTATTTTGTTCAATTATATTACAGGAAGAGTTATTTTAGTCAAAGATGACTTTATAATCTTGAACACAAGAAGGATGAGAAGACACAATGAAAAGTTGAAATTAGAAAGAGGCAATAAAGAAGTAAAAAATATATATTTTCCCAAATAGAAATATTGAAGCATGGATTAGCCTTGAAAAAAAACGTCGTGTATGCCAAAAATGTGCATCAATTTAAAGTTATATGACAACTTAGATATAGCAGATGGGACCATCTGAGGTCAGCTCTTCCCCCTTATTGAAACTAGGAAAGATTACACACACACACACACACACACACACACCACACACACACACATATATATAATATATATATATATATATATATATATATATATATATATATATATATATATATTATATATATGTATATATGTTGCATTGTTTATGTTGGTGCATGGAATGCAGTCTGCTTTAGATAAGAGTCATGAGTCAAGACATTCTCTCTGGATTTTATTGCAGCCTTCGATACTGTTGATCACAAAGATAAGCTAAGTTTTAAATATTTAACTGAATTTTTAACTGATAGGCAGCAGTGTGAACCTGTGTGTCTTCTGGGCTTCCTCTGGGTAGTGTTCCTAGTCCTTTGCTCTTCATTTTATGTACAATCGATATGCGGTCCGCCATTACTAATAAAATATTGTGTGTGTGTGTGTGTATATATATATATATATATATATATAATATATATATATATATATATATATATATATATTATATATATATATATATATATATATATATATATATATATATATATATATAAACATGTGTATGTGCATGTTTATAGTAACACATACAAACTCAAACACACGCACCACACACGCACATAACATGTGAGTATGCGGGTGTGAATAACACGCACACACACATGTATTTTTCTTTGTGTGTGTACGTGTGTATGTATATGTATGACCAGATGTTTTATTTACTATATTGTAACAGAGTTTCAGTTGTGAGAACTGCAATCACCGACATGGTCACCCGTGAAGAGAACCTCATCATCACGGAGTTTTCCCTAAGAATTCTCTCTTCTGCAAACGGCCCCCGTCTAAATCCTTCATGGCCGACCCATCTCCCTCGCCGCCATGCGAAAACTTTGGCCTCTCCCGCCGTTCCTGTTTGGCCGCCAAGAGACGCCTCCGCATAATCCCGTGGTCTTGTTTTCGCTGGAAGCCGAAGAGGGTGTTGGTTCCCTTCCAGGCCCAGGGGGATTATGCGGCACCATACCTGTCGTGCTTTTTGTACTGGGGAACGGCTATTAAGCTTTCGTCATCGCTCTCGATTTCATTATCCGGCAGACTCTTCGCGCTCTGAACGTGCGACCGGATTGCCCGTTTCATGACCATCGCTGCTTTGGTGTCAAGGGCACCCGCGCGCCGACGGTGTTTCTTCATCCAGTATCATTCTGCTGCATGTGTGTGTGTGTGTGTGTGTGTGTGTTGTGTGGTGTGTGTGTGTGTGTGTGTGTTGTGTATGTATGGTATATGTATATACATACATAATATATATATATATATATATATATATATATATATATATATATATATAATATAAGGATAAGTCTGGCATACGAGGCTGACCCTTGCCCGAGATATGAAAGGATGCCGGGCTGTGCCGCCTAATGCCGACTCGATCAATGTGTATCAGCTAGTACAGACACGTCAGAGCTTAGTTCTTACCAGCTGTGGTGTAGTGTAAACG